TTTTTTTATCGATTGTTTTTAATTCAACTTTAAAAAAATTGAATACTCTTAAACACTATATGGTTGGTCTTTCAGATTCTAATATATTCTATAATATTGTTTAATAAGCAAAATAGAATCTTATGCATATCTTACAAATAAAGTATGTTTTAAATCTTATAATCATATTTTATTTGTTTATTTTTTAAAAAGAAAAAATTTAACTTGTAATATGTATTTTTATAGATTGAGGTGCAGGATTTAACACCAAATGTTAATGTAGCAAAGAGTTCAAAAATAATTACGCCAATAGATAAAGAACGCTTTATAATTTTGGGATTAGATCCTAGATCTCCAGCTGCAGATTTTGACAGAACTCCTATCTTAATACCAAAATCTCTTGCGTTGATAAAAGCACGATCGCAAGAAAATTTGAGTCGTAAAGGTAGTTATGAAATGGATATTTATAATCCGAAAAATTCTTGTCAGAAGATCGATACAGCGATTAATATCCCGGAAACACGATTATTCGATACAGCTTCGGAAAGTCTGAAAGCATTAGATACAGAGAAAAAGGATGGACTATCTATCACATCTCTGTACAATTTTAATTTAAATATCTCCAAAAGTGAAAAGGAAATTACAGTTATTAGGAATCCAAAATATATTAGTGAAGAGAAAAGATCGTTAGTCTCGGACAAACAGATAGTTGCTATTGATAATGAAGAAGATAAAAACGAGACAGAAAAACAGAATGATTGTGAAAATATTGAATCTAATACAAAGACAAGAGATGACGATAAAATTAAATTGTGGCACGATTCACTATCTTTGGAGAAAAGCGTATCGGATAAGAAGGATGAGAAAGAATTATCGCGAAAAAAAGTTTCAAGAGATGATGTAATTATAACATTTGATAAATATACCACGATTAGTACCTCTTTAAAGCCAATGAAGACAGATTTTCGAAAAAAGGAAGACACAAAAGGAAAAAAAAAGAACACTAAAGTAAATATTAAACTTAATGAAGAAAAATTGTTTTCTCTTGAGAACAAACAGGAAATTGAAATGTATGAGGTAATTTATACAATATTATAGTATATACGTATATACAAAATTATGTATATATATATATTTGTAAATAATTAATAATTTCTTTAGAATCGAATACCTCTTGGCAATCGATCTAATAACAATCAAATACAAAAAAAACCGCAACAATTGTTGAGAAACAAGACTGCATCTATCGGAACACAGGAGAATACGCCACCATCTAAGGCTTATAGTAGAAAGACTAGAAATGGAACTCAATGGGATCCGAATTCCACGGTCCTTATTTGATTAAAACGTTTAGATTAGCTGATTTATTTATCTTATACTTAAGAGAATAGAATAAAAGTGACAATAAGTGAACTTGTTATTAATTAATAAAATAGCGTTTAATATACTCATTTCGAAATAAATTGTAAAATAAATTATCTAAATAAACATTTCATAATATCAGTATTTATTTAAGTATCATGTTTCTGCATTATCGTACGAATTTGAGTTTTTACCGCTTGAATCGAAGACTGAAGATCTTTGCTGGATTGTATCAAAGATATTACACTGAAAAATACATTTGAAGTAAATTAGAATCGCGTATACGTTTAAGATATTACAAACTGAGAAGCAATGTCTAAGATATACAGAATATCTCAAAAAGTATTTGTGTTAACTTACAGATTGATTTACTATATTTTAATTATTTAGTTGTATTAAACTTCATATGCAAACTTCATAATGCTAGTTATAAGTTTATTTGCATTACACAGGGTTGTCACAAATTCCTTATCTTAAAATTCCATAACTTTTCCCAGATTTCCAAACCAAATTTTATGATTTTTCTTGACTTCAATAATATTTTGAATTTTATGTATTTTCATCCTGATTTGGAAACCGTTAAATATTTTGTTAAGAAATCAATTTAACATAGCAATGTAAATTACTATTCATGTTGCTGACATTGCTTGCATTTTTAATTGTGTTAGTGTTCAAAAACTTAGGCCTCTAATAACCCCTTTTATATCGAGTACTTGATATGTGTATTAACTTTCTATTAAATTATTTTAATTTTAGCAATATACTTAAAGAATGATCTAAATTGATACAATACGTATCAAAATGATGAATACACATATTATATTAGATTGAGTAAAAAGTCATCGCGTATTTTTTAGCTCAAAGTTGTATATACAATATCTTCGTCAATAATGAATGAAATTCAAATTTAAAAAAAGGGTTTTAAAGCTTGAAATCTCTACTTTTAAAAGCTTATCACATTTTTTAAGTTTATATGAGTTTGATAATTTTTACATACCAAAAACTACGAGCTGAAAAAGACGAAAAATTTTCTTCTCA